CCATTCATTCTTCATGGTACCAAACAGTCCATTTAATATGAATTTGTTTTAATTGATATCAATACGTTACACAAGGAAGAGTATTTGATTCAAGTTAACCTCCACACCTAAAAATGATGGTTCTTCAAGAGTTCTTTAGTAAAGAACATGTTTCTGTATAGAACCATGAACAATCAAAGAACACTTTGCATGATTCTGTGCAATGTGGAAGTGTTCTTCAGACTGATGGAGAATGTGTTGAATGTGGTTCTATATAGAACCTTTTTGAAAAGGCACCAACATGGTTCTATATAGAACCATGAACAATCAAAAGAACCCTTTGTATGATTAAAGGGTTCTTTGCATCATGGAAGGGTTCTTCAGATTGATGGAGAATGTGTTGAAGGTGGTTCTATATAGAACCATTTTGAAAAGGCACCAAAATGGTTCTATATAGAACCATGAACAATCAAAAGAACCCTTTGCATGATTAAAGGGTTCTTTGCATCATGGAAGCGTTCTTCAGATTGATGGAGAATGTGTTGAACGTGGTTCTATATAGAACCTTTTTGAAAAGGCACCAAAAAGGGTTCTTTTATTCATAAAAGCTCGACATCATAACAATAGAACCCTTTTTGGTGCTATATTGAACCCTTTTCAAAAAGGTTCTATAAAGAACCATATACAACACATTCTCCATCAATCTGAAGAACTTTTTTTACGATGCAAAGAACTCTTTAAGCATGCAAAGGGTTCTGTGAGTGTTCATGGTTCTATATAGAACGATTTTCTCTACTAAAGAACCCTTTAAGAACCGTTATTTTTAAGTGTGTAGGTACTTCAGGATTAAAGATTTCACATCACATCACTCTGAATGACTCTGCTTGCATATTAACAGCATAACTATGCAGAAATTTTGAATAATCGGTGGGATTCCCCTTTAAGCCGTGGCGGCGCGCGAGCTAGCTGACTTCGGCGCGTGCGTGCGTGCCTGCGCGCCCGTCCACGCTTTTGTGTCAGAATGCGGCCGCTCATTGTGCTGGATAAAACAGAGTAGTCCGCTCTGATTGGCTTTCCGGACCGTGTGACGCGCTGCCCGTTTAAATTCATTGGCTGTTCTGAAGGGGGGCGGGGTGGGGGTGGGGGTGATGGGGTTGTTATCACTTTGCTCGCGCCTCCCTTTCATTCCCTTTGAAAGTGCTGCACGCTCTGCTTTTCAACTCCTCAGCGCACTTTCACAGAGGCTTACAGCTCAGAGCGTCTCACAGCCTCGGGGTCTCTATAGACTAAACTCCATCTGTCCCTCCATCTCTCCCTCCATCTCTCTCTCTCGCTCTCTCCATCTCTCCCTCCATCTCTCTCTCGCTCTCTCCATCTGTCCCTCCATCTCTCTCTCTATATCTCTCTCTATATCTCTCTCCATCTCTCTCCCTCCAACTCTCTCTCCATCTCTCCCTCCATCTCTCTCTATATATCTCTCTCTATATCTCTCTCCATCTCTCCCTCCATCTCTCTCTCTCGCTCTCTCCATCTCTCCCTCCATCTCTCTCTCTATATCTCTCTCTATATCTCTCTCCATCTCTCCCTCCATCTCTCTCTCTATATCTCTCTCTATATCTCTCTCCATCTCTCCCTCCATCTCTCTCTCTATATCTCTCTCTATATCTCTCTCCATCTCTCTCCCTCCAACTCTCTCTCCATCTCTCCCTCCATCTCTCTCTATATAGCTCTCTCTATATCTCTCTCCATCTCTCTCCCTCCATCTCTCTCTCTTGTTCTCTCCATCTCTCTCTCCATTTCTCCCTCCATCTCACTCTATATATCTCTCTCCCTCCAACTCGCTCTCTCCATCTCTCCCTCCATCGCTCTCTCGCTCTCTCCATCTCTCTCTCCATTTCTCCCTCCATCTCTCTCTCTATATCTCTCTCCCTCCAACTCTCTCTCGCTCTCTCCATCTCTCCCTCCATCTCTCCCTCTATCTCTCTCTCTATATCTCTCTCCTTCCATCTCTCTCTCTCGCTCTCTCCATCTCTCCCTCCATCTCTCCCTCCATCTCTCTCTCTATATCTCTCTCCCTCCATCTCTCTCTCGCTCTCTCCATCTCTTCCTCCATCTCTCTCTCTATATCTCTCTCCATCACTCTCCCTCCATCTCTCTCTCTCGCTCTCTCCATCTCTCTCTCTCGCTCTCTCCATCTCTCTCTCCATCTCTCTCTCTCACTCTCTCCATCTCTCTCTCCTCTTTGAAAATGGCTATATATAGCACCAAAAGGGTTCTACTATTGCTACATTGTCAGTCACGTCACTCCACTGCTGCGCTCCCTTCCCTTCCTGTAGCTGCATCAGATTTAAAACCCTGATGCCTACAAAGCCAAAAACGGACCAGCCCCTCCCTCCCTGATGGCAATGGTCAAAACTCGAACTGTACCTCGAGCCCTTCGAGCTTCGAGTACAGCTCGGCTCGACCCGCCATCCTTCAAGACGCGTGGAAGACAAGCAGCAAGACTTTTCTCTGCCCTGGAGTCCAGGTGGTGGAACGAACTCCCACTGGCTGTCCGAACAGCAGAGTTTCTTGCGGTCTTCAAACGCAGACATATATACAGCACTTAAATGAGCACTGAGTTAAGTATCTATTGTATTATATTGTACTGCGCTGTGTTTAACTCTGTTCCTTTTTTTCTGGGTATCAACACGGACCTTTGTTTCTAGCAGTCTCTGAGCTCAGGACCGGCTTTCTCTCTAACCTATTGGTCACTAGCAAAGATACTTTCTCTAGATAGACAAAGCACTTTTTGTAAGTCACTCTGGATAAGAGCGTCTGCTAAATGCTGTAAATGTAACTGTAAGCTTGTTACAATAGAAGAATCCTTTTTGGTAGTATATATAACCCTTTCCAAAAAAGTTCTATATAGAACCATATACAACTTGTTCTCGGTCAAACTGAAGAACGATTTCACCTGTAAAGAACCATTTAAGCATGCAAAGCGTTCTTTGAGTGTTCATGGTTCTATATAGAACTTTTCCATTTATCAAAGAACCCATGAAGAACCATCTTTGTCAAGAGCATAATAATTGTAACATTAGAAGAGCCCTTTTTGGTGCTCTATGGAATCCTTTTCAAAAAGGTTATATATAGAACCTTATACAACACATTCTCCATTAACCAAAAGAACCATTTCACTATGCAAAAAACATCTGAGCTTGAAACGCTTCTATTTAAAACTCATGGCTCTGAATAAACCATTCCTTTCACTAAAGAACGCTTGTAGATTCATTAATTGTTGTCTGCAGTAAAATAGTGCACTACAGACTAGGGCTGGTGGCAGCCTGTGTGAGCAGCCTGGCTGAAGAACAGCAGAGGGAGAAGCTGAAGGTCTTTCAGGACCACAGACAGCACTCCTCTCTGCTCAGAGCGAGCCAGGCATCCAGCCTTATATTAAACACATGTGGGTGAATGCATGCAGACTGAAACCTGTGGTCAAGTGTAAGTAGCTAAACTTGAGGTTTTTGGAGTCCTGTCTGCTTTCTATGAAGCTCAGGGTTAGATCAGCACAGTTCAGGTCAGTTTCAATACCTGAAGGGGAATTCCACAGACTTCCTTCTGTGGTGTTGGGGTCTGTGGGAACCACTTTCAATGTTTAACAAAAGACAAAATTATGCAATTTATTATTATTCCAACCTCATATTCATTTTTGCTCATTTTCTGTGAAGAACATATAAAATAACCCATTTTCAGTGTCTTCACTCTGTTCACCCCCCACACATTTATATTACACATGTGGTGTTGGGTGAACCAGTGGGGAGTAAAAGTGTGGAGGTGCTGTGTCCTTCACTATGTTCTCCTCCTACATGGCCTGCTGTTAGTGTGTGTGTTTATATATGTGTGTGTGTGTGTGTGTGTGTGTGTGAGGGTGGACAACATGGACAGGCTGCTGACTGGCTACAGCTGCTAAAGGAGAACCCTATGCTGACCACTTGTGATATTTTAAACACCTTGTATTTTTGCATATATTGTTATGGCTGTATTGATTTAATAAACAATAATGCGGTGGGTCCAGCAGACCACTGAGTAACAAACACATCAACAACACACAAGGGGGGGAAAAAATCTGCATAGTTCTCTCACAAAGCTGTAAACGTAGAGCGGTTTGGTGTGAAATGATTGATTGTAGAGACTCAGATGTCTTTACAGTGGTGGTGATAGGAACCAGGGGTCGCCATGACAACAACACAAATATAGACATTTTATTTACTATCCAAAACCACCAGTGAACCTGGACAAGTATTACATGGAATGTTTATGTTGGTAAATGTAAAAAAATAAGTTTTCATTGCCCTGTAGGCAAAACTACACACTGAAAAATTATGGTTCTTTAATGGTTCTTTATTAAGGAAATTGGTTCGATATAGAACCATGAACACTCAAAGAACCATTTGCATGCTTAAATGGTTCTATGCCTGGTGAAAGTGTTCTTCAGATTGATGGAGAATGGGTTGTACATGGTTCTATATAGAATCTTTTTGAAAAGCGTTCTGCTATTGTTACGATGTAAAGCTTGTAACAACAGAAGAACCTTTTTTGGTGCTATATAGAACCATACACAACACATTCCCCATCAATCTTAAGAATCATTTCACTATGCAAAAAAACTATACAGCACCACAAAGAGTTTGTATTTCATTATCTAGTTCTATGCACTTAAAATGATGTTTTTTCAAGGGTTCTTTAGTAAAGAAAATAGTTCTATATAGAACAATGAGCACTCAAAGAACCCTTTGCATGATTAAGGGGGTTTTTGCATTGTGAAGGTGTTCTTCAGATTGGAGGAAAATGTGCTGAAGATGGTTCTATACAGCACATTTTTGAAAATATAGCATCAAAAAGGGTTCTTCTATTGGTACATGCTTGACATCGTATCAATAGCAGAACCCTTGGTGCTACATAGAACTCTTTTTAAAAAGGTGCTATATAGAACCAGCTATAGCTCATTCTCCATCAGTCTGAAGAACCCCTTCACAATACAAAGACCCCCTTAATCATGCAAAGGGTTCTTTGAGTGCTCAGGGTTCTACACAGAACTATTTTCGTTACTAAAGTACCCTTGGAAAAATATCATTTTTAAAAGTGAAGCCTAAAAAAATCTCAACAGCCTCTGATGGCTCCTCCCCTTCTGTTACATACAGCAACCTGCAGTGCACTTCAGTGTAGGGGGACATTATAATGCCTTTGTAATGCTCTTATTAAACTGATTTGATCCAGTCTAACAGGTTAGGTATTGACCCAAAGCATTTTAACCCCTTAAATGGCCTCGGCTTGCCAGCTGAATGTGGTTTCTTGCCATGAGTGGTGATAATGGTCACTTACCAAGAGCTTCAGCCACCATTGAGTTTACTGTTCCTCCCATTGGCTACCTGTTCTTAAATGGTCTAACTGGAGGCGGTACCTTCAACATGATTGACAAGAGGTTAGAACAGGCCCTCGGGGCAGCTGCTTCTTCATCTTCTCATGTTGGAATAATGGTAGACTCGACACTACAGTGACTGACAATCATCTCTTGAGGTACAAAGTGATATTATGGGACAGGACGGGCTGGGGCTAGCTGGTTAGCATGCTAACTTCAGTAGATATCTCTCCAACACGATACACAGATGTCTTTGTCGTAATGTCAAAATTTGTATTTCTTCACATTCTGTTGATAATTTTAGGTAATTATGAGTGTTTTAAATAAAAAAAATCTTACAAATTGCACCTTTAATAAAGTAACTAGTTAATTAGCAGCTGTTGGCTTGATAAGGCTTAATATGAGCATTAGAAGGGTGTTATAATGCCCCCTACATAATAGTGTTACCCATACATGCTTTCTCAGCTGTTCTAGCCATAAAACACTGCACTCTTATCGCATTCCCCACTTTAAGGTGCCTTTAAAGTGGCTACTACTCTATGTACATGATTTGAGACACATCTTCAGTTTCTAGGATCAGCCTCGGTGTCAGAGGTTGCTGGAGTCGTCCAGTGGGTTGGCGATGACAGAGTTGTGGATGAGGATGAAGAGGGGCAGGTGGGCTAGGAAGTCCAGCAGGTCAAGAGAGCGAAGGCTGCGGAGTTCCCGCCTGACTGCTTCCTCGTGCTCCTCCCGGATTCCTCCCGCCTTTAACTCCACCAGGAGCTGTTCAGCGCTGATGCAGCCCTGAGCTGTCACGGCGCCCCCTGCCTGTCCCTCCAGCAAGAACAGGAACAATTGCTGTGAAGGAAGAGCACAGGAAATGTAAGTGAATCTCCATTTAAAGGGTTATCATTCACTCATCAACTGATCCCTCGCTTTGGGGGAATCCCATGCAAACCCTCCTTTGAGATCGTCTTAGAGGGAATCAATGACAAACCTTTAACCTGAAACTAGCAGATGTAGCTTTGTGTAAATTGAGCTGATATCAAAACCAAGACTATCAGTGTACTGATTACTTAGCTCACCCAAACATGCAGTTCCATCACTGACTGATGATTGTAGTTACCTGGTTTTGGGAGAAGTGTAGAATTCTGGCAACCAAAGTTTGGGCAGGCAAAACTGTTGGAGTTTGCAGAGACCCCTATGACTTTAACTGCTCTTTCTTTGCGGCGCTTCAATATTAAAAGGCGAGTTGTCAAGCTGAACTTTGTGAAGAGTATAAAATAACACGGTTCAGAGTCTTACTGAGCTGAACTTAATATGATGCAGAATGGTTTTGGGCACTGTTATAGGGATAGTTTTAAGCTCTAGACATTCTTGTCCCTGGTAGTTAGGGCTGGGTATCGAAATTCAATACTTTTAGAGTACCGACCTTCTTCAGTACTGTAGAGAACTGAAAAATCCATGTCATTCAATACCAGAAGTAATCAGACTAATCAGCATCTGGGAGCTACAAAGCATGAGCGTTCCAAAGTAGACTGGACAAAATTACATTTGTGGGCAGATCATCAACATTAGCGCTTCATTGGGGAACTGCCGCAGTCAGTAAATATACCCAAACCAAACACCTCTAATTTCTGGTTCATCTAGGAAGCAGTACTGAAGTCAAGGTACTGGGAATTTGTACTGGTAAGGTGCCAAGACGAGGTACTGGTATCAGTATCAAAACAGTTTTAACAATAGCCAGCCCTACTGGTAGTGTCCCATTTATTCTTCTCCCACATTATAGATGAGCTGCATCAACAAAGATTAAATTAAGTAGAGTTTAAATCTAGTCAATGTGTTAATCTAGGTATTATTTTAATAGAGTTGTGTTGTAGTGCTTCATTTACAACACATTAATAAATCTGCAATTAAAACCTCAATCTGTTTCTGAATTGTGAATGTCATGACAGATTCATGAGTGTAAGCAAACAGCAGCACTTAACACCAATCATAATTATAACACTTTTTATATCGTCACTATGAAAAGAAGGTAAATTTTCATTTTTATTTTTTATCTACACTATACAAAAGTTTGTGGGTACCCCTTCTTATTAGTGACTTCAGCTGCATACACAGCGTGTATGGTCTCCATAGAAAAGCATTGACAATAGAATGGGATGCTCTGGAGCAGCCACACATGAGCCTAAGGTCACCATGTCCATGTCAAGCGTAGGCTAGAGGGGTATGAAGCCCCCCAGCAATGGGCTGTGGAGAAGTGGAACTGTGTTCTAATGGAGCTCCAACTAATACCATTGGGATGAGTCTAATAAGCCGAATCATCCAACATCACTACCTGATCTCACTAGTTGCTGAATGCAATCAAATCCTCACAGTAATGTTCTAATATTCAGTATAAAACCTTCCCTATAGAGTTGAGACAGTTAGTGCAGCAGAAGCGGGCAAACTCCTTTTTAACACTCTTGATGTAGCAGGTGTCCACAAACTTTTGGCCATATAGTGTATGATTTGAACACAGCAGCAGTCCTTTATATTGTGTCAAAATTTCATGATCAATAGGCCAATAGAAATGCTCCAAAACTACATGGAATTAAATTCCTTACACTGGTTTAAACTGAAAGTAAAGGACGTTTTTTGCCCTCCCCTGTAAAGTTACCATTTTGAAGATACTTGTTTTGTTTGGACAGCAAAGATGTGCTTTTGAGTGAAAATTAGTGTTTGGCTTTGTCAAAAAGACAATTCAGACATTAAACAGTCCACCGTTATTGGAGGCCTTACAGGCCACTGACTTGAAGACTGAGTAATATCCTAACCAATAAATTTCTGTCAGTTGTTAGGAATGGAAAACAGTGGCGGCAGCTTTATGCTTCTCTTTACTGAAGAAGTCACTGTAAAACAGACACAAGGTAAAGTATATGTAAATGTCTTTTACAAGTGCCTTTTAAATGTCCATGTTTAATCTACAGTGGCCAAAAATGTTCATGTTAATCACCATTAGCTTACTAGAATCCCATAGGGGCGCTAGCAGAAATTAACTTTATTGTACAGGTGTTTTTTCCTTGACATTTTTGGTCCAAACTGAAGGCCAAACGGTAAGCATGGGCAAATGAAGTTTTCACAATGTTTAAGTAAAATACGCTGTACTTTGCATGTTGATGCCTCTTAGCCTGTGAGGCTAAAAGCGCTTTACATATATATATATATATATATATATATATATATATATATATATATATATATATACTTTTACTTTACTTTTAATGTAAGTCAATGGAAAGAGAATTTTTTACAAGTCATTTTGGGCCTTTTCTTTAGGTCCATTCATCATGAACTTTAAACACAATGTAAAAGCCAACAGACATATTCAAATTATATCAAAAACTGAAAAATAGAGATACAAGGATTTACAACAGCAACATATATGTATATCGCTGTTGTTGGAAGAAAACCTTGTATCTCCAAAATGGTAACTTTACAGGAGAAGGAGAAAACACACTTTACTTTTAATGTAAGTCAATGGAAAAAGGATTTTTTCTAAATCATTTTGGGCAACTTGTTTTGGTCCATTCTTCATGAAATTTGCAAAAAACATCAAAAATGGAGATACAAGGTTTTCTTCCGACAGCAGCGATATATATATATATATACTGCTGTTGTAAAACACTGCAGCAAGTGCATTAAAAGTAATGTAGTTATGCCGTAAAGCAAAACATTTGAATTAAAACTATGGTTTAAATGTTTCCTTGACTACTTAAAGTTTGGACCACATGGGATTAACACATAAATCAAGCTTAATCCCTGCTGGTTCAACCCATTTTTTGTACATGAAATTTGCCACTTTTTATAGGAGTTTTTTTTTTTGATTGACAGGTACGCTTTGCTCTGTATATTTGCTAAACATGATTTTACGTTGAATGCTTCCATAAAATCCTCCTAGTATCCTCTTTGATGAAAGATTTGCTGGGAATATGTTTACTTTTCTAATGCAGTGCACTGTTTTCAGTAATGGTTTATAGGGAGAAAGTCTGTTAGAAGAGGCTAATGTGTTCATGACCTGTTTATGTGTGTGTGTGTGTGTGTGTGTGTGTGTGTTGCCCCATTCACACGTGTGTCTGAGGAGGCTCAAGTTACAGCGGCCTGTTCCGACTCTTCTGTGAGTGCACCTGTTTGCACAGTTAAATGCATCCAAGGTAATGAGTACGGCTGTGTGTGTGTGTGTCCTGTAATCCCCCTGGCAGTGTGCCTGCTCCTCTCTCCATTCCTCCCCAATAGCAATTCCACCCCGAACTCGCTCTGTAATTAGCCGGCCCTTTCTCCGCTAACCCTAAGAAGTGGCGGTGGGGGCTCAGCGGCCCCTTTGCCACGGGCTTTCAAAGACTCCTTTCCTTTCCACGGCCTCTCGGCCGCTCCTGAATGGCCGTCCTATCCGCCCCCAGCTCCATCTGAGATGAGCAGTGTGTCTTTACTTGATTACAGAGCGCATAGCACTAGCCGTACACCGCCAGCTACTTTAATGAGATTACCGCCTGTAATCCATGAATAAAAGAGAGAGAGAGAGATGGAAGAGGAGGAGGAAGAGAGAGCAAGGAAGGCAGAGGGAGAGAGAGAGAGAGAGAGAGAGAAGCAGCTAGTTTTACTAAGCCAGCATTTGAATTGCCCTTCAAAGCATTTAGTAGTCTTTATTTCACTATAATTAGGCCCCTCTGTGCCTCGTCCCACCCCACTGAGAGAGAGAAAGAGAGAGAGAAGGGAGACGGACAGAGAAAAGAGAGGGATGCTGATGTTTTTGAGTTGCGGGGAGCTCATGAATGTATCTACCATTACCACTCGACGGACCTTGGCTTTGTACAGCTTCATCTCCAAAGATTTGAAGTCCATCTTGCTGATGAGGGAACGCATGAAATCACTGTCAAACAAAAGGAGAACTGGGTTAGTTGAAGGCTCAACTTGTCAGTGTTCGAAAGTTTGGAATTACTGTTTTGTTGCGTAGTATTGTGCAAAACTATTTGGCCCTTAACCCCTTACAGGGCCAGGGCCCACAGACAGGTCCGAAGTATTAGTACACACTTCTATAACCTAAGAATAGCTCTGCCAGTTTGAATTGAAGTCCCTGTAGTTACTGAATTATAAGCCTTATGTAATAAGCTTGGGATTTTAAGGGGTTAAGCACATTGTTCAAAATCATTTGTCTTGGCAACAAATGTGCATGTATCATTAGAAGTAGGGGTGGGCAATTATCTGAGCGTATTGCGGATATAATCAATACTCAAAGAACAATGACTAACTACATGCTTCATTACAAAGTGAGCATAATTAGCTCTGTTTGGATTTAGTTTGTAAAACACTGAATACAAAATAATTGTATTAATAGATCTTTTATTATTATGCACGTTTTCTAAGCCGCTTATCCTCCTGGGTCATGGGGGTGCTGGAGCCTATGCCAGCACTCACTGGGCAAAAGGCAGGTCACCAAAACACACTGGACAGGTCGCCAGTCCATCACAGGGCAGACACACAGACATACACATTCACCTAGGGCCAATTTAGCACCTCTAATGTACCTGATTGCATGTCTTTGGACTGTGGGAGAAAACCCATACAGATATGGAGAGAACCTGCAGTCTCCATATAGAAAGGACCCAGGTTCCCCGGCCGGGGAATCGAACACAGCAACAGCGGTACCCACTGCACCAATGTGTCACCCATTATCATTTAAATTTTTACATATAATTTTTTATTAAATGGGTCATTCTACAGAAACATCCATTTTTGTGTCCCTAGCGTTTAGAGCGTTTATATTACACTTGAAAAACATGGCTCATGTTCTTGAGCTGTCAATGTAGCAATATTGGTTTTTAAATCAATTATCTAGAATTCCAAGCACCACAGAAGTGCTTGTCCCCACAGTCATGTGTGAAGGCTGAGGCCATATTTTGAAGAAAAAAACACGTTTTTCTGCAATTTTAACTGCAATAATCTATACATGACTATGAAATATTTAAATTAAATGACATAAGGAAAACAAATGCCAACTAAATGGTATAAAATATATAACGAAAGTTGTTGTCCCCAGGAGTTGTGTCACTGGTGTTACTGTGTAACAAAAAATGTCTTACTTTGAAATAAAAACCACACTGATGACATCACTCGACTTCCTTTTACCTGTTTTCTGAGGATCTATGAAGAAAAGCTCATGGTAAGTCCACTGTGTCTTTCAGTTATCAGAGATTTTCTCATTTAGCTCATGATTTCATATGAAGCTTTCATTTGACGTCAGTGGTGTGACCGACTTTATTCTGAGGTAACTGTGAAAAAATAGAATACAAATAGATTAAATTACATATTTTAGTGGATATTCCATGATTGACAACATGTGGTTTGATGCTCTGTAGCAGCCGTTTTGTAAAATGCATTGCTCATTTGAAAATGTCTCTGGTGTTCCCTTTAACACCAATGAGGATCGGTAACACCAGTGACGCCTAAGGAGAGATAGAAAAGTGGATGTTTCTGTAGAATGACCCAAATATAGTTGTTAGATTAGATTGGTTGTCTCAGGGTGGTATGGCCATAAGCAAAATATAGTTTCTAAAGATCGTATGGATGATTATAGATAATATACTTTTAATGTGGCACTACAGGCTCTATTTTGCCTGCTTCAACTTTTTCAGTCTCAGAAAAAACAACTAATTAGAATAACCACAAATAAACATAGATACAGCAAAAATTAACAAGAATTTCTTGTTTTCAAAAATCTTCTGAGCTAGTTTGAAGTACAAATTTGCCCCCAGGAAAAGCGTGGATTTGTTCAATGTCACCACCAGCACACCTGATTAAACTGAATGAAGTATTGATTAGCAAAAAAAAAAAGTATTGGACGAAAACTACTAATGATATTGGGCTTCCTCAAGGAGACGTTTGGAAATGGTTAAATGAAAACATTGACACACTTGTATTAAACATATTGGTATTTATTGTATTATCAGTGTTTTTTTTGTTTCAGTTGCCTAAAAAATGTACAGACTACTGTACATACATGTAAAATGATTTTAATATGATGTTAATATCAGAGATGGGACTCGAGACAGAGGCTTGGACTCAGACTCAAATGACATGCTTAAAACTTTAGACTTGTTGAAATGCCAGCCTGAGGAAAAAAACACTGTCAAACCTGATAAAATTAGGGCCACAACTGTGATAAATAAATAAAACTAGTTGCATCTATCCTTACATGACTTTCCCTTTCAGTTTTTCTCTGTTTGTCCACAGTTATTATGGCCATGCCATTCTCCTTAAGCTTGCAGCAGCTTCAGGTTCAATGGGGCTTCTAATAGTGAGCCATTCATTGTAGAAGGATCGTCTGTCTGATGGACAGAACTGAAGTGCTACATGCAGTAAATGCAGCGTTTAAAGGAAAAAGGCAAAACAACTCGAAACGTGTGGCTAGCATGTAGCGCAGATATCCAATATGCTAGTTAGCGCAATAGCTAATTTAGCTAAAGCTGGTCATAATCAAAGCTGCAGATCATAATCTTTTAAATAATACTGCACATTCAGCTAGATCGGCTATAGCTACCTACCATACTTGCTATACAATACATATTAGCCAGCCGTTTCAAGTTGTTTTGTCTCTTTCCTTTAAACAGCACGTTACCAGCGTGTGGGGCTTCAGTTCTGTCCATCAGACTGGATTATGTTTATAATGAAAAGGCCCTAATTTGAAGTGACTGAACCTGACAGGTGTTTAGTAGATTTCCTTTTGAACAACACTAATAACGAGACTAAGACTCTCTACTGAAGACTCGAGACTCAACTCGGACTCACGACCCAGAGACTCGAAACTCAGCTCAGCATGAAGCGTCTTGTGAGCATCTGATGACATGATAAAATTACGCATTGCATACACACCGATCAGGCGTAACATTATGACCACCTCCTTGTTTCTACACTCATTGTCCATTTTATCAGCTCCACTTACTGTATAGGTGCACTTTGTAGTTCTACAGTTACAGACTGTAGTCCATCTGTTTCTCTGCATACTTTCTTAGCCCCCTTTTACCCTGTTCTTCAGTGGTCAGGACCCCCATGGACCCTCACAGAGCAGGTACTATTTGGGTGGTGGATCATTCTCAGCACTGCAGTAACACTGACGTGGTGGTGGTATGTTAGTGTGTGTTGTGCTGGTCTGAGTGGATCAGACACAGCAGTGCTGCTAAAGTGTTTATCTCATTCCCGTGCCTTACTAAGTCATGGCCACACGTTATGATCTCGTTCCCACACCTTACTAAGTCATGGCCACGCATTAGGATCTCATTCCCACGCGATAATAAGGGGTTAATAAGAGATCTCACCAGCAAGGCTCCATAGGTTTTTTTTGCATCGTGAAAGGGTTCTTCAGATTGATGGAGAATAGAACCATATAGAACCTTTTTGAAAAGGGTTCTGTATAACACCAAAAAGGTTCTTCTATTGTTATAAGCTCGACACCGTAACTATAGAAGAACGCTTTTCTAAAGAACCCATTTCCAAAAAGGTTCTATATAGAACCATTTACCGCACATTCTACATCAATCTGAAGAACGATTTAATGATGCAAAGAACCGTTTAATGATGCAAAAGTTTCTTTGAGTGTTTATGGTTCTATATAGAACCATGTTATTTACTAAAGAACCCTTGAAAAACCATCTTTTTTGAGAGTGAAGTGTATGATAGTGTCTGGTGTTTCGTTTATAATGTTTACATTGTACAAGTTATTATTAAATAAAACAACAGACATTACTGACTAATTAAAATGGCATACGATTTTAACCCTTGTGTGGTGTTGATGTTTTTGAACCCACCACATCATCAATACAGCCATAACAAGCTATGTAAAAATACCAGATGTTTAAAATATCACAAGTGTCCAGTGTAGGGTTCTCCTTTAGCAGCTGTAGCCAGTCAGCAGCCTGTCCATGTTGTCCAGCCTCACACACACACACACATATACAAACACATACACACAGACACACACACTAACAGCAGGCCATGTAGGAGGAGAACAGAATGAAGGACACAGCACCTCCACACTTTTACTCCCCGGGTTCAGCCCAACACCACGTGTGTAATATAAATGTGTGGGGGGTGAACAGAGTGAAGACACTGAAAATGGGTTATTTTATATGTTCTTCACAGAAAATGAACAAAGGCCAAGAATCTGAGGTTGAAATAATAATAAATCACATCATTTTTTCTTTGGGTAAACATTGAAAATGGGTCCCACAGACCTGAACACCACACAAGGGTTAACAAACTTTTAAAGAGATGCTTGTATAGGACTGATGTTGATGATGGCTGGTAAGGGCATATGGGGATAGATGAATTTATGCTGCTTTTGGCGCGGAATTTTTTGGCGGGGTCAGCTCACGCGGCGTGTTTTCTGTTTTTCGGGAGGGGGTGGAGTGGTTTGGCTTTGACGGTAAAGTGTTCTGAGCCCATTGTGGTTGCTCATTGCGGCCTGTTCCCCTAAACAAAGATGCTGGACACAAGGCCAACCCGCCACTATAACGATAAAAACTGCCCCGGTGCATAGAGTTTGGGAGGGGGGGTAAAGGGAGGGAATTTTTGGGGGGCATTCTGTAGTGCAATTTGGCTACTTGCTGACCGAAAAACACACACACACACACAGGCATATGCACACATGCATGCACACACACACACTCACCCCACACACAGATAATTACCCAGAGACACAAGCCATTCATTTGGAACAGAGCTCTGCTGTCCAGCGTGTGGCATGACGACGGCTGCTAACAAGCCTCCTCCTCTCCAAGAGCATGCCGGGAGGAGAACGGCAGCCTCGCTTCAGCCACCGGGCCCAGCACACGCTCTGGAGACCCCCCAAACCCCCCGGTGGCCCAAGCGAGAGAG